CTTCCATGTTGATGTTGATGATCGGCCTAGTCAGTTCAAAAATAGTATTAGTTCTTTCTCATCCACGTCCCCGGTTTTGATCTCTAGCGTATGGGCTAAAATAACCTCTACCAGTTTGTTGTGAAGAAATGGTAGTAGATCGTTGAAGCGGAGTTGAATGGCCTCTTCTTTGTGATTCTTCTGAATCTTGCACTTCATTTGATACAATTTCACAGGAAAAGACATTTTTCTTAGGAAAAGACATTTTTCATTTGTGCATGTCCACTTCATGTACTGAAAATGGTTGTAAATCTCATTTAATACAATGTTTTTGCCCTTCTTTGAAATACTTGATGCACTGATGTAAAGATGATAGAACCATGTTATGCTCCTGAATCGATAGTCGTCGAAGTGAAGCATTGAAAGAGGTTTCTACATCGATGATGTGAAATTTTGTGGTTGTTACTAGTTCACCAGCTTTCATTAACAGTGTAATTGATCCAAGGGCTATTTTTCCCTTCTGATTAAATCCTCTTAACATCATTTTATCGGTTGTAATCTCTTAAGCTTCAATATCTAATAATGTCAGTGTTTGTAGATTCATCAAGTTAAGTGATGCCCCCGGATCTACCAAAACTTTGGACAATACAAATCTGTCGATATTAACGGAGATGTAGAGCGGCCGGTTGTGGTCAGTAGTGTCGAGCAACAAATCTTCATCTGTGAAAGTTATCCCGAGTTGTTCTTTCAACGAACAAACTTCATCTGAGGATGTGTTGGCCAACTAACCTAAGCAAATCTCTGGATCAAGCAAGGCTGTAAGAGACTCTCACATCTCTTTTGACAGGATTAGAGCATTGTAGATGCTTAGTTTGGTCGCCAACCTCCTAAGATGAGCTAGCACGTTATAATCCACTTTATACAATCCTCCGATTTTTACTTGGCTATGTTGTTCTTTCACTAACGAAGGTGGAGGTAGCTCTTCTTGAGTTACTATTTGTTTTCTTTTATCCACTGGAGTTGACCTCGAGGGTAACACTTTCCCGCTCATTAGATTTATTTTCATGATTTCTTCTTCCTGAGATATTGTAGACAATTTCTGGTGTCTCATCTTCATCTGAGAGATCCAAGTTAATAGAAAGGGGTGCACCGTGGCACTTGAGGAATGGCTCATCACTCTCGGTGCTATCGTAACCAATGTTGTCAACATCTTCTTCATTCTCATTAAAGAATTCATCGGACTTAAGTATGACTTGAGAATCAGTTTGGGAATCGAGATCGGAGTTAGATTAAGCAAAGTCAGTTACGTTATCACTAGAAACAGTTAAAACGTAATCCAAAATCATAATCATTATATTCATAATACCCCGGTGAGCCAAAAAAATAATCATATATGGTCATGGGTTTGAGGATTTTCTTCCCCGCATCTGAGAAAATCAATCTAACAAAAGCAACCCCTATCCTACCCCTGCGCTATAAGTCTTCACGACATCTTTTCTGAGAAATTTTATTTTGGAGAATAGCAGCACACTCATCGCTTAAGGCTAGTCTCAAAATCACCTATTTTTTTCTTATTGATAATATGTTTCATAATTTGACATAACTAGGCATTTACTATAAGGTTTCGATGAAATGAATGTTAATTGCAAGATTCTTAAATACTTTCAAAAACTCAAACATTGTTTATCAAGCTTATATATTCTAAGCATCTAGGGAAAAGTTGGTAGTGGTCTTTCTAGTTCCTTCCTAGGTGGTGAGTCTTATTTTTTTGAATTCTGGATAGGTTTTTCAATAGATCATTAGGGCTTAGTGTTACTTCTTATACATTAGACTCCTTCCTAATCACTTCTTCCAACTCTTTTCCACTTCTCAACTTAATGGCTTTCACCTACTCATTTCTTTTGTCTTTGGGATTCACTTTTGTGTTACTAGATAGAGACCAATTAAGTCTATTGCTCAGTAAATTTGCTACCTGCTCTAGTTGATTTTCAGTATTACTTATAGTTGCAGACTGGTTTCGTGATTGATTCCCCATTTATAACACATCTTTAAAAGATAATTTATTTTCTTTAAACTGTGTATTGGAAGTGAATCCTGGTTGTTGATCTGCCTAGGGTTTCCACTATTATGATTATTCCAATTACATACAAGATTAGGTCGGTTGATATCCTACTGCTCTGGTTATTCTGTGGTTATTATTGATCTAGTTAAAGTTAGGGCAATTATTCTAGCTTGTGTTATAGATGTTGGAATATGGGTTATTGTAGATGTTGATGATATCATTCATGGATTATGCAGGCATGGCAATAGAATCAACTAGTTGTCTATAAGTGTTTTCCTCTATTACTACTAATCCTAGTGCAAATTCAATTTGATATTATCTAACTTTTTAGATATTGCATGCAACTACTTGTGAAGTTAGAATTATTAACACATCAATGTCGTGCACACTAGCTACCTTCCTAGAATGGATTATATATGAAGTTCGTTAAAAATTATTAGTCATATCCTCAATCAGTGAATATGTCTCCCCAAATAACTTTGATATGAGTGACCCCCAGCTGTAACATCTATTATTGACCTCAACGAACCCATTAGCTCCATATAAAAAGTTTGAATTATAATTTGGTAAGGCATGATGGGGACATTTCCTATGTAGCTCCTTAAATATCTTTCAAGCTTCATACAGTAATTTTCCATCTAATCGGGTAAATGAGATATTGTTCCTCGATTTTGTCATTTTAGATGGAGGGAAATATTTTGCAAGAAACTATTTGACTAAATCATTACATATGGCAATTGATCATGGAGCTGAAGAGTTAAGTCACATTTTAACTTTATCGCTAAGTGAGAAAGAGAAAAACTTTAGTTCAATGGCGTCATTGGAAACACCATTATACATCAAGTGATACAGATTTATAGAAAATTGACTAAGAGAATGTTTGGGTCTTCAGTAAGTAAGCCCCCAAATTGATTGTTTTACACCATCCAGATGATAGATGATTTCAGTTCAAATGAGATAGCTTCCATGGTAGGGTTATTAATACTCAAATGGATTTTTTCTATCGCTAGGTTTGAAAATTCTCAAAGTAGTCTAGGCAAATTCCCAAAGTAGTATAGGCAATTTCCATGTAAGACTTTTAAGTTTTCTAATTTTTTTCAATTCTTTCATGTTCAGGGTCGTACGACACTAGTTCAATAAAAGACGTCCTACGCACACAAACCTAGGACTAGTTGGAGACCCTAAACTAACATGAAATAATAATACACAAGTAAAATTAACATAAAATGAAGTAAAACAAGCATATGTGCAAAAATCAAAGACAGGAATAACAAAGAATATTTTTTCTTTTGAATTTTATAACATAGAAATATCAACTAAATACAATAGAATATAACACAATAATTTTCAAGTCTAAACTCTAATGGTTCAACTAAAATTATTTTAAAATTAAAAATAAAATCAGCGTCTTCCCCAGGAATGGCGTCAAAAACTTGATATGAACCTAAATTCTATCAAGCACCGACGATAAACACAATTATACATGTATATCAATTCCACGAGGAACGAGTAAACTTCCAAAATCGGGAAAAGCTAAAGTCTACTCGTTTTAAGTCAATCTTGAGTGATTCAAAATTAGGTGAAGATAAAGTTTCTAATGATAATTTTTGCAATAGCAAAAACTTTAAGTGAAATATGTGAGGTTGTGCAATGAGTAAAAATATCCCCCCTAATTCAGATCCTAAAAGACTGGAGTTAACTAAGTGAAAAAACTACAAGTGGCGATGAGGAACAAATATCTTCCTTATCCTCTCGATAGCAATAATTTTTTTTTTACATCAGTTAAGTTTAGCTCCACAAATCTAGTGATTAAATTAAGATTTCATACTTCCCAAAAAGATCGTACTAACCTAAGAGCAATATTCTTATCCTGCAAAGTTAATAAGTTTTGACTTAATTGTTCCAAATTTTTCTTCTAAAACTCAAAGATCACAACAAGTCTTAATAAATCAGCAGACCGAGTTGAGATTAAATAAATATCAGAAGGTTAAAATTTCACCAAAACAAGTTTCACCCAAGTCGCTTCACAAAAAGTAAACCCTGGATCTTTTAATCACCAAATCAGAGGAGAAATGCAAATTAGTGACTAAACATATTTTGAGACAACACAAATACATTTTATTAATCAAACAAATAAAATACAAAAGTTTAGAATGAAAAACTAGAAAGAGTATGCCCTTGTAATATTTTTTTTCTATTCTTCACCCCTCTCGCTTAGCACATTAAAGAACACCAAAACTACAGGACAATCCTCTCAAATTACCTCAATAATTCTATTACACCCACTTTATAGGTTTCTCCATACTTCAACAAGGTTTCCTAAGTCTAAATACTGGTAGAACTCCCCTCTAAATCTGTTCGGCAAGGCTTATATTTTACCCTTCGCGAAATGATGTATTTGAACAAACAAAACCCTCAAAACATTTGAACTAGCGCCCATAAAGTCTGGGCACTGGGCCATAGCGCCTAGGGCCCTTTTCCACAGCAGTGTTCTACATGGTTAGGGCATTGGGCCCCTAGGCGCCACTATGTAATGGCTAGGCGCCAATCTGTCCAATCTGTAATGCTCTAGGCGCCAATCTGTAATGCTTAGGCGCCAATCTGTAATGCCTAAGCGTTGGACCGTAGCGCCTAAGCGCCATTAACTAACACCTACTTTCCGGCTTAACTGTATCTGTTGGTTCAAAATCCTTGCTTGGATGCCTAGGAGCTCCCTGGTTGGCACCCACAGACGCCACTCCCACATTTAACATCAATTCTCCACCAATTGATCTCTCATCAGCCTTCCTACTTATATCTTGCAAAACACATCTTAAACATCTTCCAAAAGCAAAAAATTAAAATAAAATTAGGTAAAAACAAACATGGAAGATCACATTTTAACTTCACATCACAGAAAAATACTAGATATGAAAAATTCAGCATAAGTTGTAAGAAACACCACATTGGCATCACATACCCCCCACAAAGGGATACCAATTGTTCGGAACCGCCACCACCATAAAGGAATTTATCAACACTCCTAAAGGAAAATGAAGAGAAGTTTTGAAAAAAAATCTCAAACCGCGGAGTTTGACATCGTCCCTCTTGCTCGCTCTAAGGTTACTTCACGATCACTTGGCATCCCGACCCCAACCGGATTCCACCTCGCAAAGGCATATAAAGAAGATCTTACTTAGTTGTAGTATAAAATCATAAAGAAAGCATATGTGGACATAATGATGAACATACATGCAATACAATGTGATGATAATATACATGTCACCTAGTTTCTTTATATTTATATGTATAACACATAAACTTCATTATGACCTAAATAGCACTGAAATCTTTAGTATCACATTAAAACTATCACTCTCACTTAATTTTTCAAAAGAAAAAGTATACCTCATGCATGTACCTATCACACTAAAAGATTATGAATATAAATATGAAAGTTTAGGTGTCATATATATGTGCATATCTAGAGGATTTAAATGCATCTCACTCAATTTCCATATATTTACATATGTAACACTTAAATGCCAATCTACATGCATTAACACTCGGGATTTAAATATCACAATCAAATATAATTTTGTTAGATGCGAATAAGAATAAGGATTTACATACAAACTACCCCATTCCAACGCACTTGCACATCTAACACTTAAGCTTTCAGTTACATGGGTAATACTGAAAGCTCGAATATCACATCAAAAATATTATGGTTGAGTGTCACATAAAAAAGACCAGCATTTTGATTTTTATATGAAGACATACACCTTTTATGTATAGATAAAATGGTATGTACGCTAATACTGAAGTTTAGGTACCAAATATGTGAATATGTAGAGTTAGCTGGTGGGCATATAAAAATTCAAAATTTAGGATTTAAACATATGATAAAAACAAATGAAAATTGATATGCAATTTTAAATTTAGGTGGACATGAAAAGGCATAGGAATTAGGTGGTATGCATCGAAATACTCCAACCATTGTTTACATGTTTAAGGCAAAATAGATAGTTGAAAAGAAATGCAAGGCACGTGAAAGATGTTGTACATATATATAGGATATTTCCAACACATGTGAAATCTACATTTGCAAGGAGTTCTTGGCGGCCTCATGATCAAGCTGGCAAGTTTAATTATCCCTCGAAAGCAACATATATGGGACGCATTAGTATTTTTATGCATATTAGCAATGGAGATAATCACCATGATGAATGAATCAACTAATGTGATGTTTATGACAATGTCAACGTGCATATAATTAAGAGAACCATAAATCGCCTTTGAAATCAAATAACTCGAGGCTTCCCGCCACACACACCAGATGCGGGAACATGCTAAACTAGCTAGCAACAAACCACTGTGTTGAAGACCGGTCCAAGGAAATCCCGAGCAAAGCGGTCCGGGCAAGATTTCCGACAGGACAAGCGGCTTCCCGCGCCCCTACCCTTGTCTTTTTCGTGCTTTTCTTTCCTATAGGGATATATATTGTTATTTCAGAGCATAGGATTTACTTTTGGTTGGCCTGACTTTAGATTTCCTCTGTAGATTCCTTCTACATTTCGTAGGGTTGTATCAGAGAAGGTGGCGGTGCTCCGACTGTATCATACTCTGATGAGTGATTGTATTTTTCCTTTTATCTTCTTTAACTCTTCTTCTCCACTTTCCTTAGCCGTTGACCACCCCAACAACTTCCCCCTGTATTTTCAACCCTTCCTACCGCTACAACCTGCTGTCCAACCCTTTCAGGCTCCTCCCGACAGCTAGCCACACCCCTACAGCAGCCCCACTTGTTGTCCGACCCTCTGCCTACCAGCATCTTCTCATGCCTTCCCTCCAGCTTTCCTGGCCGTCCCATGCCACCAACTCCCTAAAATCAGCCCCTTACCCTCTTCCTATCGTGACCTACAACTTTTACCTACCATATTCCCTTACGGCCTCGCCGCCGCAATCATTTCCCTCGGATCTCTCTTCCGGCCCTACTCAACAATTAGATTGTGTTTGTATTTGCTTTCCAGTTTGTGTCGTGTTATAACCCCAACTCAGTATCAATAAAAGTTTGCTTTACATTTCTCATTGAATTTCTTATTAGTTTTGGTATCAAAGTTAGCCCAACCCTAGTCCAACCCTAGGATTTATAGCATTCACCTTACCCCTCCACCAATTTTTTTTCATTCTTGCCCTCAACCACCTCTTCCAGTTTCCCCAAAACCTATCTCCACTAAAATTTTCTTTCCTATTCCTAAACCCTAATCATGTCACCTCGAAGATACATGGCCGAGCCTACTTAGAAAGAGATAAGGCGGGAGCTCCGTGCCTTCAACAAAGGCATACAGAGATTGAGAAATTAACACAGGAAGAAGTAACCTTCGACCGAGATCTGGAGAGTCAAAGAGGACAAAGAGATGAGGATTTGAATCCCTTCCATAGAGATAATTTTAGAGAAGAAAAAGAAAGGTCACATTGTTTTGGAACCCACTATCAGAGGTGACCTAGAGATGGATGTCTGAATCCCCTCAGAGAGAGACACGCTGAGAGGAGATATTATTTGGAGGACAGAGAAATTTCAGCATCAAGATAGATCTGCCAGAGTTAGAAGGAAGTATGGATCCTGAGAAATTCATTGAATGATTATAAGTTGTTGAGCGAATCTACAAGTATAAAGTTGTGTCAGAGGATAGGCGGGTCAAATTAGTGGTCATCGGGTTGAAGAAGAGTAGTTCTCTATGGTGAGAAAACAAACAGAGACAGAGGAAAAGAGAGGGCAGTGGTAAGATTACGAGGTGGGAGAAGATGAAGAAAGCAAAGCAAAGGAAATAACTCCCACCCCATTCCCGTTAGGATATGTTCCTGAGGCTCCATCATTTGCAACAGAGGGACCTATCAGTAGAATAGTTCACAAAGCAATTTGATCAATTGCAGATGAAGTGAGAACTAACAGAGCTAGAGGAAAATTCAATAGCTAGACACCTTAAGAGCCTGAAGCATAGTATTAGCAATGTGGTGTAGTTACAACCATACTGGACACTGGAGAAAGTCCAGACAATAGCCTTGAAGGTGGAAAAATAGTAGAAGCAGAGCCGGCAACGTCATTCTTCAGGCATCAACCTACGAGCAGGCAATCACCTACAACTACCACGACCAAAAGAGGTACCCCGAGAGACACAGGCAAGCCCAAGCAATGGAGTGACACTCTAGATCAGAGCAGTAAGAAGCAGCATAAGGGTGTCTCCTCCAACACTGTGTCAGCTAGAAAGTGTTGCAGATGTCACGAATACGATCACATCGCCTCCAGCTGTCCCATGAGCAGAGTAGTCACACTTACAGATCAGGGCGTCGTGGAAGAAGATAGCGAGGAGGAGACAATTGATGACCAGAGTAAGACGCATCATCTTCCCTAAGATGAAGGAGAGGCACTCATAGTTTGACAGGACCTACACGAGGGATCCGCAGTGGCTTCACCACAACATTTTCTACACCCGCTGCATAGTGAACGAAAAAGTATGCAGTCTTATCATCGACGGCGGGAATAGCAAGAACGTGGTATCGACTCTGATGGTAGAGAAATTGGGACTCACGGCTCAGAGACACTCCTAGTTGTACTCGCTGACATGGCTGCAGAAGGAGAATTGGATCAACATCGACCGGAGATGTTTGGTAGAGTTCTCGATCGGAGACCATCTGCAGGACCAAGTGTGGTGTGACGTGGTTCCTATGAATCCCTGCCACCTTTTATTGGGATGACAGAGACAGTTTGATCGAAGGACTCAGCACAATGGATTTAGAAACACATAATCATTTACCAAAGAGGGGAAGCACATCATTCTACTTTCTTCGGCAGAGTTTGAGATCACAAGAACCCTTACCAGCAGAGAGACGTTAGTGGGGCCAGTTATAGTGACGACACGATATGAAAGGATTGAGACACCGGCTTCAAGTACGAGATAGTTTTGCTAGAGAGGATGCCAGGAGTCTCATAGTCGACACCGTACCAGCAGCTCCGCCACCGGACGTGAAGAAGCGGGCTACTCTCACGACGCATCAGACTAACCCAACCATTAGTGTGGTGTGACGTAGTCCCTATGAATCCCTGCCACCTATTGGGACGACAGAGGCAGTTTGACCGAAGGACTCAGCACGATGGATTCAGAAACTCATAATCATTTACCAGGGAGGGGAAGTACATCATTCTACTTTCTTCGGCAGAGTTTGAGATCACAAGAACCCTTACCAGCAGAGCAATGTCAGTGGAGCCAGTTCTAGTGATGACACGATATGAAAAGATTGAGACACCGGCTTCAGGCACGAGACACTTTTGCTAGAGAGGATGTCAGGGTCTCACAGTCGACATCATACCAGCAGCTTCACCACCGAAAGGGAAGAAGCAGGCTACTCTCACGGCGTACATACTAACCCAACCATGGGTTACCTTGGGAGGATCTAGCAGCACATTCATGGGCCACAATCTCGGGACAGCAAATCTATGGGGACATGGGTGCACAAATGGTGTCGACTTCTTCGATAATTTGGCCAACATTGAAGCTAGCTGTGGGATTCAGGGGCTGCAAGGATTGAAGACAAAAGTCAGAAGCTTCGACGATCGAGGTCAAAGCTCCACAAACACAGGGAGACTGGCGCGTGGCTTCACGCTAAAAGCGTCAGACGAGGGAACTTCCCACTATTCTAGCCAGTCAGCTGAACCAGCTGGCAACATATCGGTCTATTGGAAACTGTTCAAAGGAAATCTTGGGCTGAGCAGCCTAGGCAAGATTCCCGACAGGACGAGCGGCCTCTAACGCCCCTCCCCTTGCCTTTTATGTGTTTTTTCTTTCTTGTAGAGATATATATTAATGTTTCGGAGTTTAGAGTTTAGTTTTTGGTTGGCTTGACTTCAGATTTCCTATGTGGATTCCTTCTCCCTTTCATAAGGTTGTATCCGAGGAAGTGGTGGTGCTCCAGTTGTATCCTGCTCTGAAGTAGAGATTGTATCTTCTCTTTTATGAAATCCTAACTTTTCCACACCATTTTCCTTAGGCGTCGACCAGCTTAAAAACTTTCCCCTGCACTGCAGACCCCCTTTCTACTGTAGCAATCTGCTGTCCAACCGTTTCAAACCCCTCCCTACAGCTAGTCGGCGCCATTACAGCAGCCTTCCTTGCTATATGACCCTCTGCCCTCGCAACCAGCATCTTCTCCTGCCTTCCCTCCAACTTTCCCGACCGCCCCACTCCACCAACTCCCTATAATCAGCCCTCTGCCCTCTTCCTAACCTGACCTACAACCCATACCCTTCCTTGTTCCCTTACCACCTCGCCCCTGCCACCATCGCCCTTAGATCTCTCTTTCGGCCCTAGCCGTAAATTAGTTTGTGTATGTATTTGCTTTGTGTCGTGTTGTAACCCTATCAATAAAATTTTGTTTTGTGTTTCCCATTGAATTTCCTACTAGTTTTGGTATCATCAAAGCAATGTAAATGCACTCATGCCATGGATTTACAAAATTTGTGATTTGAGATTTATGCAACCACATGATTTCTTTTCCTCTAATGCAAATGGTGATAACCTCAAATTTATTTTTATGCAATTGAATATCATCCATACTTGCATATATGTAAAAGAAAAGGAGAATGCATGCAGTGATATTTGGAAATGGAGATTCAAAATGGAAAGACTAAAAAAATATACCTTCATGAAGAGTGGTATGAGTTTCTTTGTTGTTCTCGCCAACCAAAGAGATGAGGAGGAGCATCTAGGCTTCGCCGTGCTTCTTCCTTGAGAACCAAGAGAGAAAGGAGAAGACTTCGACTCCTTGCAAAGGCGAACCAAGAAATCAAAATAAAAAATTCATGCAAATAGAATGCAAAGTAACCCAAGTTAAGATATTGCTCTACGGCATATCGTTGTCACATTCGCAAATGAGAAATATATAATTTTTCATAGCAAAATCATCAAATACTGCAATACATGAGTCATACAAGAAATAATGTATAAAGATCACATGAATCCTAGCTAATAAAACATATAGCTCACCAATTGAGCATTCAAATAAAATTGAACCATGTAAAGTGAAGACAATACGCAACCACACCCAATTTTGCACATGAGAGTGCAAAACGATATAGTGTTTTGGGCATTCAAAATCAGCGAGAAAGTGCATTAAAATGAGCTCAATATGCTTAACATCGCGTCACCTAACATGTGCAATGATATTCATTTTGAAAGCAAGCATAACTCAATGATCTTGATGTGACGATATAAAAAAGAACTATCAAAACAGTTCATTCTTCCTTTTTTTTTAGTTTGGCATATCATCAAACAATGATGTGCATATTAATACATAAGATTGAATGGTATATATGTAAAGCCAAAATTTAGGTATCAGGCATACAAATACATAAGATTGAATGACATGTATGTGAAGCCAAAATTTAGGTATTTTGCATAAAAATTAGGCCTTTTGCATCCAAATACATAAGTTTGAATGTCATGTACATGAAGCCCTAACCAAGATTTTACCAAAACAATAATGATCCTATAAGATTCAAAACCCCATTTCCCCTTTGTCTTGCTTTCAATCCAAAATTAAAATAATATCATTGCAAATATGGATTTAGGGGGTTTTGAGGACTTAAAACGCAAGAAAGAGATTTGGGAGGAGGAGGAGGAAGAAGAGAGTGTTACCTTCCTCAATAGTTTCGGGTAGAGTCGAATGGAAGGATAGGAAGGCCGGGTTTCATCAAAGACGAAGGAGGAGAGGCTTCGGCTTGCCTTCTTACTCGCGAACGTAGTGTCGGGTGCCCTCTTTCTAGCGAATGGAGGGAGAGGGAATCCAAAAAAATTTCAAAAAAAAAAAAAATGAAAAAGTAAATATTGAGCAAGTGCAAGTGAATTTTGAAATAAAATGAGAAGATCATGAACTGACATTTTTAATAAGATCATTAACTTACATTAACTTAAATTAGAAAAAAAATAAAATGATCATCAAATAAGTTATAATTTATTATTAATCTCCTATGTTCTTCGTGGGCCCATTGGATAATGCATGGGTGCTAAGGTTCGGCAATTTGGCACTTGGTAAGGACTTGGCTTGAATTAACTACATGTCCTCTTGATTGCTAAATAGGGGTGTAAACTAGCCGAACACAACACGGGCGAGTCATGCTCAGCTCGTGTTCGGCTCGTTTCTATTTTGAGCTCAAAAATTGTGTTCGTGTTCGGCTCGTTTGCTTAACGAGCCGAACAAGAGCTGTTCACGAACGAAGAGTCATTTTAACAACCCTAATAATGTAATTGCTTAGAGAGCCGAACACAAGTTGTTTGCGAACAATGAGTCTTTTGACAACCCTAGTCACACAACCGTAGGATGTTAAGGGCTGAAGCAAGATTTAAATCTTATTATTTATATTAAAAATATTATTTAAATATAATTTAATATATTTTTATTCTATTATTTAATTACTAATTTTAATTGATTGTAAATCTTTGTATCATTGCAGTCATTTATTTTTTTTAAATACTACTCATCAATTTAATTATTTCAAGCCAAAATGAGCCGAACACGAATGAACAATTCTTTGTTCGTGTTCGACTCGTTTATATTTCAAGTGAAAAAAGTTGTTCATGTTCAACAAGTGAACGAAATTAACGAGCCGAATACGAGCTTCTTAAAGAGCCAAACACGAGCTGTTCGCGAACAACGAGACGTTTTGACAGCCCTACTCACAATTTAGCATATTGTGGATAATCTTCCTTCTTTTAGAAGAAAATTTGAGTATGGAAGAAAAATTATGACTTCCCCGAACTCTATAAGATGAGATTTCATAAATGTTAGAGGAGATTAGAGAGAATTATTTATAATTATTTCTAATATGTTGTAAATAATTTTTTTATATTTTATGCAAATAGTAATTATTTTCTTTTAAAAATGATATATATTAAACTAAATTAAATATATTTAAAAAAAACCCTTAAACACATATCAAATATACATGTATGTGTTCGAGCACCCACATACTATAATTAACGACAGTAGAGGCCGAATGTTGAGCCATTTGATATCATTTTTTTAGAGTAAATATGTTTTTAAGAGCATTTTCATACTAATTAGGATTATATTTGACATTTTAAAACAATTGTTGTATCTTTTGTGTCTTAACTATCCCACTAGAAAAAGCTTGAGTAAATTTTGAATAATTTTGGGTGATTTTGCTAAAAAATTGTATTAAGTGATGTGCTAATTTTGCTACAAAAACATTGCCAATAGGAATTACCTGGTTCAACTCCATTGAGAGTAGGGGTGTAAACAAATCGAACACGAAGGAACAGAGCTTGTGTTCGTGTTCGTGTTCGGTTCGTTTGAAATTTAATTTGTTTGAAATAAGCTCGTGTTTGAAATTGTCCGTTAAGTCACTGTTCGTGTTCGTTGGTTAACAAACAAGCCGAACACGAGCTGTTCGCGAACGACGAGCCAGTTTGACATCCCTAATATTAATATATATAAATAAAATATTATATTAATTATATAACTCATATTATATAAATATATAATATCTATAATTAAAATATCATAAATTTTTAATATATAATTATTTTAATTTTTTTGTATTTCGAACAATAACGATTCGAACATGAACGAACGCATCACTGTTCGTGTTTGGTTCGTTTAACTAACCGAACGAAACAAAATTGTTCATGTTCGTCTCGTTTACTTATCGAATCGTATACGAACTGTTTGCGAACAACGAGCTTTTTTGACAGCCATAATTGAGAGAGCAACATTGGCATTTAGGAAATGATCATACCATGTACATATATTTTATGCCCCAACAATTTTAACTCTCAAATTATTTATGAACTCACAGATTTTGATGTATAAAAAAAATATTAACTAATAAAGTAACCAGAGAAATCATTTAATCAATCTCAACTCCCAACAGCATTTTCAACTCTCAAAATATTTAAATCATAATTTTTTAGAATTAACTCTGAGAAACTAAGATTAATTAGTTAATACATTTATAGTAAAAAGATAGATATCTTGATAGGACGAACCTAATAATACAACGAATACATAGATTTGAATCAAATGAACTCAAAATCCAGCACACAAAATCATAGTTGTAAACTATACGAGAACATTTGAGTGATCAAACAAGCTACAGATTTTTAGGTGTGCTTATAATTGAATGACCAACAAAAATTGATTATGATCTATTTAAAGTATAAAAATACCAAATAAATATCAAACAATTACGAGAATCAACTATGCCCTTTTAATGTAGTTTCATAATTTCTAATTAACATGATCAAAGTGCCACATCTAAAAATTTAGAAACTACTCATACATATTAAGTGAATACCCTAAAAATGACTTTGGTAAAGGGAATTATTGAATTAATAATTCATTTAAATCTTGTTAGACTCGCCGTCGATGCCAATGTTGATGTTGGTGTCACTGTCTAACATCAATGCCAATGTCAACTAATAGCAAGCTTTTATGTGCATGCAAGTGACATGTAATTTCAAGTAATGAAGTGATAAAATAGAATAAGTGCTAGATTTAACTAAGCTAATTACTAATGTTTGTCGAATCTAATTTTTTTCAAATATGCATAATCAAAGATGAATGTTTTAAGAAATAAAATTTAAGTTTTCTAAAGTTTTTTTTAGTTTATGGTTATCTAAATTCTTTATGAAATTAGTTAAGCTTTCTAACAGCTATTTGTCAAACAATGACTAATTAATTTTTTAATCCCTGCTCAGAGCTTAGAAATACTAAATCATCATATTACTAATAAGTGATATTTTTATCCCAATTAATGCAAATGATTTCGTAAATTTTATTCCTCATAATGTTTTAATTTTCCAAGAACTATATATTTATGCTCTTAAAAATTGACTATTTAGTATGCCATTCTAATAAGCTTCTGACACCCAATTAATTTTGCAATATGCTTAGCCAAAACATTTTTAAATGAATTTTAGACAACAAAAAAATAATATATTTTATTTAAATCAAAATCTTACAGACAAATAACACTTTTTATAATAACCACAAACTTTGGGAAAATAACTTAGTTACTAAATAGATTTATTGAAGATATCACATATACATGAATAAACCACATAAATCAAGCCTTTCAAGGATGAATCTTCTTCTCATTTTCTTCCTGCACACAAGTTATACACACTTGCTCACTCTTATACTACTAACACACTCCAATAGCACTAAGTCCCTCATACACTCTATAAATACTCTAATTTACTCCCTACTACCCAAAAAAGGTCCAAATTGCTCCATTACTCCTTATGGCTCGCTCCAAAACTGAAGAAAAATAGATTTATCAAGCCATCGCGACTCAACAACATGAATTAGCACTACAACGTTGTTGGTCTAGCACCACAGTGCTACAAAGTGATCTTATAATGTTGTGCTTTCGGTTTCAAACATTTTTTTTTTATGGTACAATACTGCAACGCTTGGATGACAATGATTTGACGATGAATTGTGGTGTTGTGGTGCCATGCACTCATATTTTCCTCTAATTTGTGGTCTCTTATAATACAATGACACTGTTAATCTTATGTTTTGCTGCCCAAAATAAGTGTTATGGTACTAATATCTCTAAAACCTACCTAAAAAATGGGGTTTTGGCACTATGGCGTTATGTGTTTGACATCGCGACAACATTGTTAATTTTCTTCTAACTTCTCCACATTATTCTCGTGTTAATTTGGTGTACAAAACACTCAAGTAGTACACTAAAAATACTTACAATACATATAACTATAATACTTTGATACATTTCACATCTAATGTTTATGCACTTTGCTCACTCAACATCTAACACTAATGTCTGTAGTTGTCCAAAATATATGTTTGATACTGACCATTAATTAACACTAGATGTCCAACATTTTAGTCTTAAAATTGGTCACTAGTCTGTTATTTTATAAGAATAACTTTTACTTCAATTGCTATTTTTTTTGGTTGATTGTTATTCAATATTTGCCAACAATTAATACTTAATGTCCGTCAACTACTGATATTTAATGGTTTTATTTCTAATCATATTTGATTTAATAACTTACAAGCTTAGCAAATGAGAATCACACACTCCAACATCTCCTTGTTTTCCTTACTCTCACCATAAAAACTATTTTTTATATTTATTATATAGATAATATTTTCTCTAATTGCTTAAAAAAATTATGTTTATAACATTTTAACTCTTATTAATGAAATTCCACTGCTTTAATTAGACCTTTCAGCTTTTTTCTTTTTAAAAATTTCTCATATATCATTGAGGTTGTGTAGTAATAATTTTAAGTAGAATTTAACTTAAATCCTATTGGTTAAAAAAATTAGCAACTTTTAAATCCCAAATTTAATAAATTTATTTACTTCTTAGTTTTGTATGGGTTTTTATTTGAGAAAATATGAGACTAATGCCTCACATATCATTAAATTACAAATAATATAAATACAATGAAATAAATATAGCAAAAGCTACACAAACAAAAAATTAAGGGCCCGTTTGGGGTCGTTGCAGCTTCATTAAAAGCTGCTACACGGCAACTATCTCATGAAGCTGCTGCATAGAAGCCATTGCGAGAAAATAGTTTATCTTTTTATTTTGTATAGCTGTGCACCAATTATGTTACAGCTGCTTATGATAAAAAAAAAATTATTAGTTTGTATTATTGTGTTATTTATAACATAACTAGTACGGACTAAATAACTCATGCATGAAATAGAAATTTCATTCATAATCCCCATAAACTCTTTAGTTCAAATATTAAATCTAAAAACAAACATCTCAC